AGTAGAGGAATGAAACCAGATTTAGAGGTTAGAAAAATGAATGAGTTATGAGGAATCAAGGCGGTTATTCAAAACACTCATCTGAGAATTTGACAGGGGCAGAAAATAAAAAAATAAAATAGAATTTAAATAGGAAGGGAATGATCAAGAGATTTTGTTAAAGATTTTATTTATTTATTTTTAGAAAGGGAAGGGAGGGAGATAGAGAGAGAGAGAGAAACATCAATGTGCGGTTGCTGGGGGTTATGGCCTGTAACCCAGGCATGTACCCTGGCTGGGAATCGAACCTGCGACACTTTGGTTCAGAGCTTGCGCTCAATCCACTGAGCTGCACCAGCCAGGGGAGATTTTTGTTTTTAAAATATATTTTATTGATTATGCTATTACATACAGTTGTCCCATTTCCCCCCTTCACTTCCCTCCCACCTGCATATTCCCCTCCTTTAGTTCATGCCCATGAGTTGTACCTATAAGTTCTTTGGCTTCTACTTTTCCTACACTATTCTTACCCTCCCCCTTTCTATTTTCTACCTACCATTTATGCTTCTTATTCCCTGTACCTTTTCCCCTTTCTCCCTCTCCCCCTCCCCCATTGATAACCCTCTATGTGATCTCCATTTCTGTGGTTCTGTTCCTGTTCTAGATGTTTGCTTTTGTTTTTGTTTTAGGTGTGGTTGTTAATGATTGTGAGTTTGCTGTCATTTTACTGTACATGTTTTTTATCTTCTTTTTCTTAGATAAATCCCTTTAACATTTCATATAATAAGGGCTGGATGATGATGAACTCCTTTAACTTGACCTTATCTGAGAAGCACTTCATCTGCCCTTCCATTCTAAATGAAAGCTTTGCTAGATAGAGCAATCTTGGATGTAGGTCCTTGCCTTTCATGACTTGGAATACTTCTTTCCAGCCTTCTTGCCTATAAGATCTCTTTTGAGAAATCAGCTGACAGTCTTATGGGAACTCCTTTGTAGGTAATTGTCCCCTTTTCTCTTGCTGCTTCTAGGATTCTCTCCTTAATTTTAATCCTGAGTAATGTAATTATGGTGTGCCTTGGTGTGTTCCTCCTTGGGTCCAACTTCTTTGGGACCCAGAAGCCAAGTGGCAACCCCACTCCACCGCCCCCTGCAGCTTTGGTGGAAAGAAGAACCATGTGGTTTTGGCCAGAGTGGGGACTTCCACAGCTTTGGTAGAAGAGGATCATGCAGCTTTGGGGTGCTCCCTTAGGCCACGTGGCCTGGGAAGCAGGAGAGACTTTGCCTGGAAAAAGGGTGAAAGAACTCGTCAGTAGGCCATGAGAAGGTGCCACATGGCTTTGGATGAATTAGAGACCCTGCTTGGACAGTGACACAGCTGATGGTGTTAGGAGGCTGGATCCCAGGTGTTTGCTTCTTTTCCTGAGCAAGGGTACCCTGAATTAGGGCAGGGAGGGAAGGAAGCACTATGGTCGGCTGAGGGTATCCAAAAGGACTTTGATATTTTAATGAAGACATTAGGTCACTACTTTAAGTCTGTATTGCAATAAATAAACATTTCCTTTCCTTTTCACAAATTTTTGGCTTTGAGAGCTGTCTTTCCTAAAGGCGATAGACAATCAAACCTAGTGGGGGGTCCTTTCAGTAACAGTATATTGTCCTCACCCACTTTGGCCCCTTTGTTCTGTAACAGTTTTTGGTGTCCCTGGGTGGGCCAATAATTGCCACCCCCCGCCCCCGCCCCCTTGTCTGTTCTGTAACACTACCTGGCTGGGTCCACCAGCCACTGCCTTGCCAAGAGTCCTCTCTGTCCCTGGCTGCCTGACTCTGCCCCTCCTACCTACTGGTCTGGATGAATGTGTCTTCTTTAACTCCTTGGTTGTCAGACTTCCGTACAGTTCGGTTTTCTGTCAGTTCTGGTTGTTTTTTGTTTTTAAATTGTTGTTATCCTTCTTTTGGTTGTTGAGGAGGCACAGTGTGACTACCTACGCCTCCATCTTGGCCGGAAGTCCAGAGTTTTGCTTTCAAGAGACAGGAGCTTAAGCATATTTGTAGGTTGTGGAATGAAATCCAATGGAGAAGAAAAGAGTGGATATTTTAGAAACAGCAGATTGCTATTTATACCTACCAGGTATTTCTAATGTATTTGTTTAAGGACTAAAGTAAGTTATAGTGAAAATATAGCAGTTTAATTAGAATTAAAATATGAGTAAATTTAATGGCAATGGGAATCTCTGACAACTAAAAAGTCTTCAAAAAGAGTCCAGGGCAGAAGTGGACAATAAAGTCAAAGAAAGTTTCTGCCAACCCTACACATCTTCTCCACTTGATCCTTGATCCATAAACTTTGTGGAACTATTGACAATAGATGCAAACACTGAATGAAAAATTTCAGTAAGAAGATGTAGATAAGTACTTTTAATCTGAACAGACCTAGAGTCACGGTGTGCCTCTGCTCTTCTTCAAAGGAGCAGGTAACTAGTTAAGGACAGTGAATGCTGGCTTCTGCTTCAACTCTCACTATCTTAACAGCCTCTTGCTTGGAATAACCTCTTAAAGTTTATATAGTAATGACGCCAAAGCAGAGCAATATTTCAAAAAACTAGACATAATAAGGAGTTTGACTTCATTGGGTTACAATAATTATTATTTCTTTCAAAATGGTTTATTTCAGAATAGGGCAACAACAGCCACTCTTAATAGGATATGACTTGATGGAAATCCTTAAGCAAGATTATTCTGTCACTTAAGGTAGGATGGACCCGAGTGGGTAAAAGAATACAGACAGGTCTGTAACACTGTTGCTATCCTGTCATATATGAGTTGAGGGCCAGAGCCAAATTCCAAAGGGTGTTTAATTTTATATCACTAGATGTAAAATTCTAATTAATGATTTGATGGTTATAGTAGAGTACCAGATTATTTTTTATAGGATGGTTATACTTTGTTTTCAATGCTATATAAATAGCAAAGCATCACCACATTTTTATTATTTAATTTGACCCTCACAAAAACTTTCTACAGCTGAAAGATAAAATGTTATTTTTCTAAGCTATTCAAAGAGGTAATGAAGATTTAGAGGAGTTTAACAAGTTAACTCTATGAACAAATGTGTGAGTACCTGCTATGAGCCAGTCACTGTTCTAGAGTTATATATTTTCCAAATGCCTGAGCCAGAGTCAGAATTCTTGATCCAGGATGTTGATGAAACCATAGCCATGCTGCACTTATTTATGGCTGCTCTTCAGGAGACCTCTTGTAAAAAAAAGCCCAAGATGCAAGTTATGGTAAATATACATGCTTGGGTGTACCAAAAAACTTAAGCCTTTTTGGGTATGAGCTACAACGGAGAGATTTTTGGGTTTGACAGGTTGCATATCTCATGCAGTTTTATGGAGCATGATGCACAAATTTTAAAAATACTTTTGTATATAAATTAAAGGTTCAGACTTCTTAATTACATAACCCACAGGGTGTAATGTATGTGTCAGCAACCATGATAAACATTTTATGAAGTAATTTTAAATTTAATAGCTATATAGCTTGGTTTATTTGCATTCTTTAAAGAAATTGCAAGCAAATAAATAGATGCTTTATTTATACCTCAGTCATAGAGACATCAGAGAATGAGTTCCACTAGACAGGAGCTCAAAGAGTTCAGATGAAATTCCTAAGATTATTTTTAATAACTGAAAAAAAAGACTTGGTTTGGTCAAATCTTATTTTGAAAGAGGTCCTGAAGTGAGATTTACAGTAATGTTATTTCTAGAATGTAAAAGAAGTTATTTTCTAAGTTGTCTACCCAGTGTTTTTTCCACAGAAATTATTCCTGGTTTAGCATGGCTTTTGACAAGCATGCCTTCAATATGTTTAAATTACAGATGGAGGCCTGGACTTCTAGCTTTTTTTAAAGAGTCTACTTGATTACTTATACTAGGCTGAAAACTCGAGGCATGTGCATGCATATATGCACACACGCCCTTAACACACATTATCCAGTTTCCAATTTAAAAACTTTAAAACTGTATTTTTTAGTTATTATTACAGAGATATTAACAATGACTAGAGAAAGCAGGGCCTGAAAAGTGTGTTTCCTCTTATTAAGTTGCAATACTGGAAGCAAAAGTCACAGTTCGGAGGTTTTTACATGGTGCTGTGAAGTTTCCATAGTTCGTGTCCACATGGCCTTCCTGCTGGGGAGAGTCTTGCTCTCCCACAAGCAGATGTGGTCAAACTAGTCAAGTGACTCTGAAGAAAGGGCACATACCTTAGTGTCAACCTTGTCTGCTCTCTGTCCTTGAATCATAGTTACTGGGTTTATGGGCCCAGGCAAATAAGAGTCTTAAATCCTAGAGCAGAGGCAGAACACCAGCAACAGGTGCATCATAAATGGAACTGTCGAGGCTGCGCCACCACAAGGTTTTGTTTTTTCTTCTGAAAGGCCAGGAGTGTAAGACAAGGCCATGAAGAAGCGGATCTTCATTCTGGCTTAGGGTGCGTGTCACCTCAAAGGTGCTTCTTCTCTTCTTCCATAACTGGATAGGAAACCTGGGCTTGGCTGCTTGGGCTAGCCACTTCTAAGGAGCAAAAGAGGCGACACTCTCAAAAGAACCACTGAGGCCTGGCGGTCGGCCCCTTAGCCCCGTGTCCCACTTGGAGAGCCCTGAAACCACGGAGCCCACAGTCCACTCCGGCAAAAGCGCCAATTCGGGGAAGCCAGAGAGACCGGAAGGCTCCGGCACCCGTCTCGCCACTTCTCCCAGACCGCGCGCTAAAATCAAACTCGACGCGGGCTCGTTAGGGGCCGGGCCGCGCGCACCCCTCCCTCCCCCCCGCAGGCTGTTACCAGCGCCATCCTCGCTGCGGAGCTGGGCGGGGCCGCCTCGAGGCAGCCGGGAAAGGCAGGCCGTAGAGGAAGGGACGCGAGAGGCGCACTCTGCGCATGCGAGCGGCGCCCCGCCTCCTTAGCGTCTGCTCCCGGCGGGCGTCGTGGACCCTCCCACTCTCCCCGGCGCAGCCGGTCTGCCTCGGCCCTAGCTTCACCCCGACGCCCAGGGGTGTGCGTCTTCCCGCCTGCCGGCAGGCCTCGGACCTCCGCTCGCCTGCCCGCCGCTGCTCCTCGCGGCCCCGGCTCGCGTTCACGCTGTCGCCCGGGCCAGCGCGGCCGCGGGCAACCGCTCCCCCTCCCGCACCTACCCCGCCCCCTCCCCGCCTTTTCCGCCCTCCCGTCCCCCTCCCTCGACCCGCCGCCGCTGCTCCAGATGAGGTGATGGCAACGGCCAACTTCGGCAAGATCCAGATCGGGATTTACGTGGAGATCAAGCGGAGCGATGGTGAGCCGTGCCGCCGCCCCTGTCTGCCAGGTCCCGCATTCGGATGTGCGTCGTGGGGACGCGGGCGCCGGCCGCCTCATTGATTGCTTCGCCAGGGTGTGGGGGCGGGAAGGCGGCGGCCGCGGCGCTTTGTGTGTGGCTCGTGTGCTACCGAGGCCGGCCTGGGGTCCACCTCGGGTGCCGCTGCAGTGCAGGGGGCGGGGAGATGCCCTGTGTGTGGCGGGGCTGGGCCGAGGGGAGGCCAGCGCGGAAGGCCTGGGTGTCACTGTCCGAGTCTTTGGGGGTGTCAGGCGGGCGCGGTGCAGGGTCCTGGGCCAGGGGCCCCTCACTTCTCCCGTGATCACCATCCTCCCCGGGGACTCCAGTCCGGGGGAGGCGGACGAGGGCAGCGGGCTTGGTGAAGGATGACCTACCGTCGCGTTTCACTCGGCTCTTTTCATTTTCCGGCCTCATCTCTGAGGGGTGGGGGCTGGGGAGAGCGGGAGACCAGTGATTTCAGTATTTAGAGAACCCTACTGGTAAGAGGCCGAGGTGGAGGGAGAAGGCCAACCCCTTTGGTTTCAACTGCTGTGTGGTTGTCAGGGTTCTTCGGCTTTCGTTTCTCGAACATGCGTCCTTTTTCACTAGTCCCTTCCTTGGAAGAAGGATGTGGAGAATGTGTTGCTCGGCCATGAATAAGGGTGGGGGAGTAGGTGAAGGAAGTATTCGATGAGCTTCTCTAAGGTGAAGAGACTGCAAGGGAAGGAGAGGCGATGAGCCTAGTCAATGCCAGGAGCCACTGAGGATGGGGGTGGGCGACTGGATGTTGGTATTTTCACACCCCCTGGAGAGGTAACCGAGAGAAAAGTGTAAGGCGAAGTGCAGATACATGCTTAACTAGAAAAAGAAAGAAAGAAAAAAAAACAACAACAACCCGTAGGCTTAGGTATTTTTCTATAGGTTCCTATGGGGGAAATGTTTTATGTCACTAGCTTGGGGTGTGGAGTGAGATGCCAGCCAGGCTTGGAAATAATTTATAATGTGAAGGAGAAAACGCATGGAGAGAATGAATTAGAGGCGTGCGGTGTTCTTTACTCCATCTCTGTTATGCCCATACCTTTAATTTACAGTTGATTATCCTCTATCCTCGTCAGTAGTAGTGTTGCTATCACACCTACACCCTCTTGGTTTCTACCAAGTTTGACCAAGTTATGCGAAACTAGATTGATTTTTACCTTATCTATGTGATATATTGGAAGATCCATACAGTTAATGATTTTTCCCTTCATTATATTTGAGATTTGTAATAACAACTAGAAGCATCAATATCTTGTATGCGGAAAGGTAAATTATGCGACTTAGAGGTTTAGAAGTTACCAATAACACTTGTGAGAAAGATGTCTCCTTTACTTGGGTTGGGGTTTCTTTATATTACTCTCTTCAAGTTACTTCCCTTAAACAATATTGTTAGTGTCATTTCTTAGGTGAATGCAGGTTCATTCACTGTGTACTAGCAAAAGTAAGATTTGCATATAATTTAAAATTTTGGAGTGAAATTAAATGTGTAAGTTTTTACATTCCAAGCTTTTAACTGTGATTATAGATGTTAGTTTAAAATCTATCCCCCACAAAAAAGGGGGGCAATATGACTTTGCAAGGTTTGTATATATGTACTTTTTTTTGGACCAACATCTTTTTATTTAAATGTATTGGACTTGAAATAATTTTGGTTCTTTCAGGATTCTAGGATAGAGGGTTTTAATACTCTTTCAGCCTTCACCTTCTACCTGTACCAGAAACCCAGGCAGTAAGAGCTTTGTGTTCTTACATAAGTGCATGTAAGCTAAAATCAGATTTCAAAGCAGTTTGCCCATGAGAAATAATGGAAGTCTTTACAATGTGTATTATCCTGACCTGTGCTCATGTACATATGTATTTATGCACCTCAGATGCATGATGGTGTTTGAAAGGTAAAAGATAAGTCGAGAACTTGAAGAGATGATTATTTGCATTGGAGGATAGTATTTCACAGTGGAAATTGATGTCTGGGAGACTGCCTTTAAGCTTTTCCTTTTTCACTTTAAAGAAGCTGTTTTCTCCTACTTTTATAGCAGATCTGTATTGGGCAAGATAATAGTGGTAATTGTAACAAAAATAAACTTTGTCGTTGGATGAACAATGACAAATGTGATTGATTGTGTGATTGCCTGAGACAATGGAAATCAGAAGGTTGAGGAAGGGCTGCTCCAGGCTGCTGTTAACTGGTGACTTGATTGGTTGCTAATGGTGATCCTTGTCCTTCTTTTAGAGCATGCTTCTCCTATCTGTGATACTCTTTATTAATAAAACATATTCCAAGGGCAAACAGGTAAACTAAGATGGATTATTCCTCTTTCAAGACACCACTCAAAACTAATCCCAGTAAATCTTCACTCATTACTAAAACCAGATGGCCAGTTCACCTCTGAATTCCTGTCATCTGTATCACTCATGAGACAGTGTATTTCCTTAAGTATTGATATTTGGGCTTATTTCTCTTAATATTTGTTTTAAACTGCACTAGAGAGAGGGTGGAGTGGGGAATGCAATGAAAAGATGGCAGGCTACCCCCCACACTTCAACCAGTGTGTTACAAGATTGAAATACTAATAGACTTAAATTCCCTGAATTCATCTGTGTATCCACTCTGTGCCTTGCAGAGTTCTTTGCATGTAGTTTTCGAGTAAACCACTTATTATTGGATTTTGGGTTTTCAAATGTTATTTTAACTAACCATTCAGATGGACTCTTACCAGGAAGTGAAACCCTACAATCTGTGCTCATCCTGTGTTGCCACCTCCCCGCCTCTAGCCTCTCACATCCTATACAGACTGTTTAGTTCAGAATCCCCAGAGTTGACTGAACTTGAGTGATCGTCCAAGGCGAGTCAGACTAAGGTTAGAAAGGACAAAGGTTAGGCTTGGACTCCTGAGGTTGTTCCCAGCTGCAGGACATAACTCGGTGTGAAATTAAACTGGTTTTTGGAAATGGACACTCATGTATATTTTATTTTCTTTTGTTTTATGGATTTAATCTTTATTGTATTTTTCCAGTATAGTTTATTTTCTTATATGTGTCTTCCTATTATTGTTCTGATTCACTTCCTTTTTAGAATCCAGTGATTCTAAAAACTAAACTATTAGTACAGTATTACTGTTGTATGGCAAGATAGTCTTTGTTGGGAAATTTTAAACTACACTGTTGAAACATTTTTAAAATGTTCTACAGTAGCTGTGACTACCCTTTGAGGACTAGGGGAGGAATGAGAAATACTTTGAATATTTGGAGGCTGCAGTTAAGATGGGTTTGTGTTTGGGGTCCCTTAGTCACCGTATTGATATGTGATTGGAAGAGAATCATAGATTATTTCAACCAGAAAGATCTTTGGAATTAATCTAGTAGTCATTTTTATAAATGTGGAAACTCAGTCTCAAGTAACCATAAGTGACTTGTCAAGATTCAAACCAGACAATTTATCAAGAACTGTGACAGTAAAGAGAGAGTTCTCCATTATTTGGCAACCATGTTATACAGCTTTCTACAGCCCAATCAAGATATAGGAAATTGCTTCTCATTTGTGGGAAAGCCACAAGCGAGCAGTTTTGTAGAGGCCAATTAGGAATGATCTGATAAAAAGTAGTATGGTGTGGTGGGTTAGAAGGTCACAAAACTCAATACTGTGAGAGGAAAATATTCCTGTTTCTTAATTAAACATTGATGAAAAGAGTGCATTAATTAAGCATCAGAAATCCAGAGGAAATTGAAGATTTCAAAGGACTCGTTGGGGATGTTGGCATATAAGGATAGGCAATCTTTAGAAAAGTTTATTTTAAACAGCCTAATTCTCTACCTACTTTGCTACATTTACTCTTCTGCTAGTTCATCTTTACTGTCATTGTATAGACTTTTGGAGAATAGATTTTATAAATTTAGGTAATACAAATAAACCACTAAGCAGTGCATTCAATAGTTGTTCTTTAGGTACAGTTATGTTATTGATGATGGAATGGGTAGAATGGAGGAATTTGTGGATTAATAATTTCCTTTTACATGATAACTAACATGATAATGGTTCCATATATGTATTTGTTAGGCCTTAATGGTTTTCCAAATGGGTTATCTAATTGGATCCTACCAGAATCTATATGAGGTAAGCAGGGTAGGAAGGTGGTAGATTCGTCATTATACAAATGAATCTGAGGTTGCATTATTTGTCATGATGACAAGGTTAATAAGGGGCCATAGCCTGGACCAAAGACTGTAAGTTGTTTCTCTCCTATCTCTCTCTTTAAGTGCTGGCAGATGTTTGCTGTTGATGGTATGAAGTTGTATGCTATGCATACTTTTGTTTTTGAGATACAAAAGCCCCTGTAATAAAATCCTTGCTACTGCTACCACCAAAGAGGCTCAGAAAACCTACAATTGATAACATTGCTGAAATTTTGCCATATTGCCCTGGCCAGTGTGGCTCACTTGGTTGGAGCATTGTCCCATATTAAAAGGTTGCAGTTGATTTCCAGTTAGAGCAAATGGCTAGGTTGCAAGTTTGGTCTCTGGTCCATGTGTACAAGAGGCAACTGATCAATATTTTCTTTTCACACTCTCTCTCTCCCTTTTTTCCCCTCTCTCTAAGTATGTCTTTGGGTGAGGATTAAAAACAAAAATTTCGAAATTGGTGAGATCAAATTGAATTCTGACCATAAGAATTAAGATTCAGCAAAGTAAGCCTTTTAAAGCCCTCTTCAGTAGTTAGCCATTCATTAGTTGCTCCAGAATTTCACCTGAGAGCTGGGAATCTATATTCATTGCCCAGTCACTTTATTCCCATGACAAATTTTTGGAACTCTGGGGAAAAGCTATGTGTCAACTTGTTTTATGTGTCATAATTTTTTAAAAACTGGAGAAAATAGCAAAGAGCCAGTTAAACCCGTGTCTGTTCAACTAGGGAAGGAGGTGTGAGTTTAGAAAATCAGTATTCTTTT